TGGCATTCTCCCTTTTGACATGTGGTATTTCTCTTAAATTATGACTAAATTTTATTTTATTAAACAAATATTTAAAGATATCCAAGAGACATATTTTTCTTTTTCTAATCATTAAAAAAAACAGGAAGAGATAACATCAAATTAGGCAAATTGTTTTTTCTATTGTTTCTTTATTTTCTTTATTTCTTTCATTGAATTTAAAATTTAACATCAAATAAAATTTCAATAAATTAAACCAATTTTTAAAGCTATACTCTCTAAAAACAAGCTCTAAGTAGTTGACATGTGGCATTCATCCTTTCGACATGTGGCATTCCTTTTAAATTATCACTAAATTTTATTTTATTAAACAAATATCTAAATATATCCGGAAGACATATATATATATATATATATATATATATATATATATATATATATATATCTATATTTAATCATTTAAAAATAGAAAGAGGTAACATTAAATTAGACAAAAAAAATCCTATTTATTTCTTTATTTTATTTTCATTGAATTTGAAAATAACATCAAATAAAATTTTAATAAATTAGACTAATTTTTAAAGCTATATGTATGTTTATTGTTTTGAATAAAACTTTAAAACGTATTTTGTGTGTGTGTGCAAAGTCTAACTATTTTTCTTTGTTTTTTTCTCATTAAATTTAAAAACTAACGGCAAAAAATTTGGAAGAAATTAATTTTGGGAATTTTGCCAAATGTGCCACATTTTGGGAAAATCTTAGCAAATGTACCATATTTGAAATGGATTTAGCATTCATATCACATTTGGTGTTTGTGTGGCAATTCTTGGACGATTTTGCCCTTCTCTGTGCGTCAAGTATGTGTCAGGAGAAGGAGCTACAGTAGACGCCGGTTGGGAAACGGGGACAACTTTGTGTCAGAGAAGGACAACTTTGTCTGAAAGACAACTTTGTGTCAGAGAAGAATGACAAAACATTGCATTAAATGCAGTTTACATTTACCATGGACAATAATTATGAAATAGAGTGAATGATGTCCCCCAAGAATAAGTCCAGATCTCTTGATTGTCCATCGCCAGATGATGTGGTTTTACCAGCCAGAGATCTGGATTTACTCGGGGACAACTTCTCTTGATTGTCCATCGCCAGATGATGTGGTTTTACCAGCCAGAGATCTGAATTTACTCGGAGACAACTTGATCTTTATTTTATTCCGCCAGAGAGCCGAAGACGAAGATCTGGATTTACTCGGGGACAACTTTGTTTTACCAGCCAGAGGGAAAAAAAAGGTTCAATAATCCGGGTAAGTGAGGACAATATTGTTCGACTAATCTGTAGACCAAAATAGATGCCTAGAATTCTAAATAAAATTCAAAACCCTTAAACGAGAACAATTGGTAGACAAAATATGGAATTCATGATAATAAAACAAAATGATGAATCGGGGACAAGATCTAAACGCAACAGAGAATTCCCATTCGGGGACAAGATCTGGACAACAGTAGAGAATGTTTATATGAAAAAAAGTTTTCTCGTGAATGAAAGAAAAAACTAGACAAAGAGAGAGATAAAGTGAAAGTGAAAGAAATAAATAAAGAAAATAAAAATGTAACAACAAATAAAGAAAGAGAAAATTGTAGTTACCAATGTAGAGAAATAAAGGAAGGCAGAAAAGTCAGAGGGGCACATCAACTACAGGTTTTGGTCTCTCATGTTAGAGGGTAAAATGGTCTTTACCAACAGCAATTGTGGTAGAAGAGAAAAATGAATATATGAAGTGGTAGAACCAAAAATGTTTCGATGAAATGTGGTATAGCAGCTAATTTTCTCATTAATTTATGGCTTCATAAAGAATCGTCTTTATGGCTTCATAAAGAATCGTCCTTTTTGTTGACAAAAGAAAAAAAAAAGAATCGTCTTTTTATAAAGAAACTTAAATCGTAATAAAAGTTTTAAAAATGAATAAAAGCACAATTTTAAGGTCATGTATTAAAAGCTAGAGTGCATATTTGTAACATACATCACAAAAATTTAGTTTAATTTTTTTGAGTCAATTTTAAACCGACGTCAACCCTATTTATTACTTACGTTAAAAACCGATTTTGTTGTAGTAATATATACATCTCAACACTATATATACATATCTACACCTTTTTATAAGTTAAATATTTTATCTTCTAGATACATATAGTCCCACTAAACAACCACAACGGTTGATTGGAACGATGAATAACATCTTGCGTTTTTTGTTTGTCATGGTTTTGTGTGTCGGGTTGGGTAATGCAAAGATATGGGGGAAAAATTTAGTGCAATTTAAGAATTCTGTTGAGGGAAAGCAAGTCAATATCTTTTGTAAATTGAACAATAAACAACTATTCGTAGTTTTTTTAGAGCCTGGAGAAATCTATGATCATTGGTTTCATGGTCAATTTGTAACCACAAACAAAATGGATTGTGACATAAGGGAGTTACAATATAAATTAGTAAGGATTAGGGCATTTCAAGGTGCTAGTGGCTCATTTGATCATGGTAAGACGAATTACTGGGATATTAGAGAAGATGGAATTTACTTTACACACGGTAAAGACATACCAAAACTAGAGTATAAATGGTAAAGTGTCCTTAGGAGTGGGCGCATAAATCTTTTGTTACGAAGAAGAAGTAGAATCTATTTATCTTTGTTATACTTACAATTTCCTATTTTCTGTTATTGTAATGGATACCTATTGAATAAATATTGATATCTCAATGTATTGCCTGTATGACTATCTCGATGGATTTATAAATATAATGTATACCTTTTATTAAGAATAAAAAACAATAAATGTAGATATCAAATATAGAAGTATCATAAATATGAAGAAATTTTATAATGTATATCATAAATGCAATACTATAAACAAATATCTGCCATCTTTTTTTAGATAAATTATAGACTCCCTCTGTTTCAAAATATATGATGTTTTGTTTGAAATCACACATTTTAAGAAAATTTATTTTGCTCTCTTAAAACTATCATTTATTATTTAGTTTTAAAAATTCAACCAATTAGAGAAAAGACTGTAGAATACAAACAGTCATAAAATATCAAATATATTTAAAACTGCATAGAAAATTATAAAACATCATATATTTTGAAACAAAATAAAAACTCTAAAACATATTATATTCTGAAACAGAGGGAGTATTGATTAGCAAGTGCTTTAAAATCTTTACAAAGCAAAAAAAATTCTAAAGCATTGAAATAGATCCAATCAAGCTTTAGAAGTTTTGACTTTTCTTTTATTCTCACAGCCAAAATATTTCTATAATTCATTGTTTTTTTTTTGTAGAAAGCTTTTTTTCTAAAACATATAATATTCAACTTTCCAAAATTTTAAATTCTACAGCAAAAATACTATAGCATTAAAATCTACAGTCACTTTTGCAAACTTGGATCATTTATTTTGGAGAATACCATCGGAGTTTGATTCTATAGCTTTTCCTTGGATTATTTGGTATATTTGGAAAGCACGGAATGAAAAATTGTTTGAAAATGTGGATAACGATCCGTTAGAGGTTTTACGGTTAGCGGAAAGAGAGGCACAATTGTGGCACTCAGCTCAAGTGGAGCTTCATACTGAAACTCAGGCTTCAGTGGAATTTCCAAATCGGCCTCAAACGAGGGGGGTGTCCCTAGATTCGGATTTTACAGGATACCGTTGTTTTGTGGATGGATCCTGGAAAGACAGCGACAAGTTTTCCGGGATAGGGTGGTTTTGTACACCATCAAACGGTGAGCCATCAACAATGGGAGCTGCCAACCTCCGTAGAAGCCTATCTCCGCTACATGCCGAATTCGAGGCCCTCCTTTGGGCGATGAAGTGTATGATTGGTGCAGATAATCAAGAGGTAGCATTCCTTACAGACTGTTCTGACCTGGTGAAGATGGTGTCTTCCCCAACCGAATGGCCGGCCTTCTCAGTGTATCTGGAGGAATTTCAGAGCGACAAGGAAGAGTTCTCTACCTTCTCTTTATCTTTAATTTCTCGTTGTGCAAATGCAAAAGCGGATAATCTGGCACGAAAAATTCGTACGGAACCGCTTCATATCACTTATGTAAACAACATTCCACAAGAATGGCTCTTTTGAGTACTATTTAATTACAGATGACAAAAAAAAAAAAAAAATCTACAGTCACATCCAAAACATCTACAGCCTAAAATTTACAGATATATATCTAAAGCTACAGCCGGAACCAATCAGGCCCATAATCTTAGATAATTTTTGTTTTAGCTTTAAAATGTATTTTTGGTCGTATCAAATTATATCTGCCATCTTTTCAAAACATTTATTCGAGATTTATTTAGTAAAATATTTTTATTAAAGATTACAGATTTATATGCATATTTTAAAATCAATTAAGAAACTTTTTGAATCAAATTTATGTTCAACTTCACTACTTGCACATGATAAAGACAGTCACATACTAAACAAAGATTGCACAACTGTATATTACACCTTTGATCCCATTGTTAATTTTAAGGTTAATATGTTTGATTGTTTTATTTTTTGTCAACTACACATTAGTTAAAAAGTTTCTCCATGATTGGCAGAAAAGTGTACAAATGAAAAATTACTTTTCCTTTCAAGAGTTAGAAATTTTGTCATAAAAATAATAACTAGTAGATCGGTGGTTCTATATTGATTCGGTCAAAATTGGATTCCTTTTCTTTTTCTATATATAACATAAATGAATCGATTTAAACAATGTTAAAATATAGTTCAGTTTTAAAATCATTTGTTTTGATTCAGTTCAGAAGTGATAGGTTTGTCCAAATTAAACACCCGTAAATACAACCTGATTTTGAATCCTAATTTTGAGATAGAATTATGGTTTTGGTTTAAGCCTGCAGCCTGAACCAGCCAAATTATGGTTTTGGTTTCAAGTCTAATCATCCTGCAGACCGGACTGTCCATGGCCAGCCCACGGACTCCCCGGTCCTCAGTAACATAGCTGTAGTAACAAGAGAAACAAATTCTATCTCCAAGGCCTTTAAGGAATACATTAATTGATCTCAAAGGTATCACAAGCACAATTACCCGTTCCACTAAATACATAGCTTTAGAAATATCTCTAAGCAACAACAGGACAGCTTCTATACGTATATGCAATAAAGTGACCAATCTAATGCCTAAAGTTGCGCACAAACATAAAACTCAATTCTTATTGCAAAGCCTTTGTCTCTCATTGACGCCAATTCCAGTAACAGTATATAATATATGATAGTGCAACGACAAATGCAAACGCATCACTGTGTGTTAACTAGCACTCTGCTTAGCACTAGAAGTAGATGTTGTCATAAACGATTCACCACACCCGCATTGTCCTTGTGAGTTAGGATTGATGAACACAAACTCTGATCTGCAATTAAAGAAAAGAGGTTAATATGGGTTTAAAAATCGATAAGTGACTTTGCGTTTGAAATGTCACAGAGGTCCAAACCTGAGTTTATCATCTACAAAATCCATCTTGGTTCCAATCACATGCATTAAGGCCTTTGGTTCAACAAGTATCCTCACACCTTTCTCCTCCACCAGCTCATCAAATTTTCCTTTTTCATCTGAAACAGGACTTGCGGAGAAAACTGTTTAGACAACAACTCAACACTTGCAAGCAATAGCGTGAAATATAGCAAGAAACTCGTAATAGAGATTTCAGTACATCATAAATTGTGCATTAGCTGATTAGAAGATAGAGATTTCAGTATATCATAAAACCTTGAACTATATATTGATACTAGTGTACACTGCTTTGTTGGCTAGTCCATTACTTTTGCCGATTCAGTCATATACAGATATAAACAAATATAAATGTAAACCTGACTACAAAGTTTGAGAACAAGAAAAATTCTGGAGCACCAAAATGTTACGTATCTACTATCTACCAAACCTAACTATCAAGTTTGAGAACAAAAAAATGTTACAGATCTACCAAATCTAACAATCAAGTTTGAGAACATCTACACACTTAGTGCCGACAAACATTCATCAATTTGTTTACTCTAAAGTAGATAGCACTTGGAACATAGCAATGCATATAGCTTTTTCATCTATGAGACAAACAGCTCGAAGTTTAAGGGAAACTATGCATACAGACCCTGAATTTGTCTCATACGACAAGAAACATCCACAGAATCGTTGACCTCTATAACCAGATAGCACTTAATACAAAGCAATCATCAATGAGCCAAAAACCAGACTCATCATTATTGAACAAAATAGAACATAGCTATCCATACAAATTTTTCATCGATGAGCTAAAAACCAGAGTATAAACCTGCGGCTAACATCTAGAGACTTTAAGAGAACCTATGCATTCAGCTACAGTGTCCCTGAATTTGTCTCATAAGACAAGAAACATCCACATAGTCAATTAGTCATTGACTCTATAACTAGATAGAACTTAATACATGGCAATCATTGATGAGCCAAGAAAATCAAATTCATCACTATTGAACACACATCATTCACAAATCTCAATTTTACCAAAGTCTAGTATCTATATCTCCTTATGCTATGGCTCTCAAATAGAGGAATACGAACAAAACACAGCAAAATATTAAAACTCAAAAAATCAATGCCCTAAAATCAAAATTGAAACTTGGTAACATCCATTGAATGTTTTACTGTAAACTAGATAGCACTTGGAACATAGCAATTGCATACGGCTTTTTCATCGACAATACTCATAAACATCCGCAGAATCATTGACTCAGATAAAACTTAATACATAGCAATCATCAATGACCCAAAAACCAGATTCATCACTATTGAATACACATCAAAAACATTCCCCAATCTCAATTTTACCAAAGTCTAACTCAAAAACTCAATTTGAACACACTATATCTCCTCGTCTATAGCTATCAAAGAGAGGAATAGGAACAAAACACAGCACAAGATCACAATTCAAAACTGAATCCCCCTAAAATCAAAATTGAAACTTGATTCCACCCAACAATAAAGGCGGTGAATTGAAAATCAACCCAGAAGTATTACCGGCGTAATTGAGAGTGTAGGACAATCCGTTGCAGCCACGAGCTTTAACGCCTAATCGGAGGAAAGGTTTTTGACGCTGTTGTAAGAGATGATGAACCCTAGAGGCAGCTTCGTCCGTCAAGGTTAATACTTGCTTCCTTAACGCCGGTCCAACCCTCGCCGCCGCAGCCGCCAAAACTTGAGAAGCTTTCATCGAATCGAATTCTCAGAGAATTACAGATATAGAGGCATAATTTATCAGACTTAATCAAAAAGCTAGAAGACGATGTCTCCTTTTGTTTGTTTTTTTTATATAGAAAAGATGAACAAGTCTGGTTTTTCTGCTTAAAAAAAAAAATATAAATGTCTTAAAAATTATATTTATAAATATACTAAAATTAAATAGGACTCGTGTATTGGCAGATTTTATATTTTTTACGTAATTTATTTATTTTTATATTATTTGGTTTTCAACCACATTTTATTACCTATTTCCAAATATTTATGTTTTCTTATTCATATATTTGAATAACTACACATTCCTCTTGAATTCATCTATGTTACTCTATTTAGCAACTCTTGTGTCACACACACACTTCATGTACCAGTTTGAAAATCAGAAGTTTAGAAATCCATCAGTTCAAATAACGAAAGAAGATTAAAAGTAATAAACAAAACTTATCTAGATAGATCACAACAATTCAGTCGGTTGAATTAGATTAGATTTTGTTTAATCGTCTACATGTTCATTAAGGAACAAGGATTCATCGATGCTAAAGAGGGCTAATCATGTTTCCGTGTTACCGAGGAGTCTTTCATGGACATGTTAAATATGGATATGAATGAAGCTTTGCCTCAAGATTGATAAGGAATGCAAAGTCTTGACGGTTCATGGATTATAAGATAAGCCTATGATAATCTCATGATGTTAAAATAAACTTCCTTTTGTTTTTATAATTGATAAGCCTATGATGATCTCATGATGTAAATTGGTCATAAGATATCAGCAAGCTATACTAACCGCCAACCGCATCTTGAGTGGGACAAAAATGAGATTCTAGAAAAGATAATTGATACGATTTAGGTTTTCTGGAAACTAAAATAGATAACCAGTACATTGAAGGAAAAAAAAGAAGATAATTATTGAGATCTTCCAGACTTCCAATATGAAGGTGGTTCTTGATTCACCAAATACCATCTTGTCTTAGTGGGAAGAGGAGTATCTTGTTTGTAACAGTTCCATTCTAAGATTATGTTACTGAAAACAACACCAATGGTTCATATTCACGTTTGCTTGGGTGGAGACTCATTACAACTGTAGAATATATCTCATACAACAAAAACAATGTATCGAAAACCAAATAAATAAATAAAAATATATAAATATATATGGGTCTTGAGTCGTTCTAAGTATCTTCTTTAATCATGTATCCTAAGGATTAGATAAAACCGTGTAATCTAATTTGGGATCTTGATTTTTTTCATCTATCCACTCAAAAAAGGTCCTTGAGGGCAGCATCGCACACAACCTCGATGTTCTCCACAACGATATCGTTATATAGAATGTACACCAGCCTGCATAGAATCTTTTTGTCCTAAAAACCTTTGAAGTCTAGGGTTAACAGGGTGAATGCTCCATATCCCGTTATCAGATCTGGTGAAATTTCCCTGTAGGTAGAGAACCTTCTCCTGCAATGCCTGATCAAACAAGAGTTTATTAAAGACTAATAGAAAAATTATAGTTTAAAATTTTTTCTTTGTTCAAATCAATGAAACAATTTTCTATTTATATTAAAACACATCTGGAGGAAACCAATCGTATTAAGGGAAGCTTTTTCAGCTTTTTCCATAGATCTCATCTCTAGACGAGCTAATACTAAAGCGGATAAGTTTGCACACACCGTTCGTGTACAACCGCAATATGTAATGTTTGTAAATAATATTCCTTTGGATTGGCTCATTTGATCCGATCTATTTTGATATAAGTGGTTGACAAATGAAAAAAAAAATTCTCTCCTAATATAATATAAAAAAATAATGAACTTTTGTATTAAAAATAATAATAATATGTTAGAATTTGTGGAAGTATTCTTTTATTTCATAAAAAGATGCGTATTAATAAGTACATCCTAATACGCAAAGAAAATGAAATTTCACTTAAAGGCAAAATTACACATATACAAATATTTGGAAATATCGAAATATCCTCCAATATAATAAATTAATTAACTTAAATAATTAACTCTAAACAATAAAGATGAGATAAAAATTTCAAAAATCTCGGCATCAAATGACAGCCCAACATGTGGCGCTAGCGGTCTCCATCTTTTCCTTAAATCACCAGATTGAATTTTTCAAATGAATTCAACACCCTGATATCTTGTGATTTTAAATCTTAGTTTCAATTAGTTTTCTCTATTTTGCATTCATTTTTAGGCATATAGTTGTGCATATACATGTGAATTTGTCTTTCTTAGGTTTATGGAATGGATCATGAAGAGTTGAAGATATTTGTAGTCTTATGAGCAAAAAGGAGGTGGAATGAATCAAAATAGTGAAATAATGATCAAAAGAAGATCAAGAGGAGGCAAAGAGAGAGAAAATCAAGATTACAGATTGGATTTACTGAGCGATCGATCACTAATAAAACATTTAGTTTGATTACATTTACAACATACTGTATGTCATTATAATTTTTTTTTAAAATCTTATGTTTGCCTAAGTTACTGAAGGATCTTGAAATTAATATTAAACAACATAATATATGCGCATATCTATGGTTAATTTATTAATTATCATTCTGCTACAGTTCTACTTTATAGAACTAAACATACTTCTACTACAATTTACGACGTTCACATCACTCAAACAACAAGATTGACACCAGCATTATCCAAAACGAATGCGTTTAAGGTTCGTTTGAAATTCCGATCCTACACAATTAAAAGCATTGGGTCCCGAAAATGAAAGAAAAGCCGAGTCATCGGGTCTGTGTTTCAATGCCACGACAAAATCATATCCACAACTACCATCTCTCATTAATCACCGTAATTAAAGCTAATCTAAAATCAAAACCAATAATCATGCTTTTCAAAAAATTTAATTGCAACTTTCTCTAGATATCATTCATGTAAAAATTACACAATTTCATAAAAGCATGACTCTCGTATACTTCACAGTTCACACTATTACTTCACTTCACCTAATAAAAAAAAATCATTCAACCGACGTGAAATATGCAAAATAATTAAACAATTTTAAAACTAATTAATCAGTCAAAAAAGTAACAATTATTTTCCTTTATATTTTTCAAACCACAACAACACTCCACTATCTCCACTAACACACAATGGCCTCTTCCATATTTCTTCTTCTCCTTCTCTTCTTCTTCTTCCTCTGTTCTCCGATCACTTCCTTTAAAACAGAGAAGAAGACTTTCATTTTCCGAGTAGACAGTGGACTAAAACCGTCAGTTTTCTCTACGCACTACCATTGGTACAGTTCTGAGTTCACTGAAGGTCCACGAATTCTCCATCTTTACGACACAGTCTTTCATGGCTTCTCCGCAAGTGTTACACCAGACGACGCTGAAAACCTCCGTAACCATCCTGCGGTTCTTGCGGTTTTCGAGGATCGTCGTCGTGAACTTCACACCACTCGTTCTCCTCAATTCTTAGGTTTACGTAACCAGAAAGGACTCTGGTCTAACTCTGATTACGGATCTGATGTTATCATCGGTGTTTTAGACACCGGAATATGGCCGGAGCGAAGAAGCTTCTCGGATCTAAACCTTGGACCGGTTCCGAAGCGGTGGAGAGGTGTTTGTCAGACAGGAGTTAGGTTTGACGCTAGAAACTGTAACCGGAAAATCGTCGGCGCTAGGTTTTTTGCTAAAGGACAGCAAGCCGCCATGTTCAGTGGAATCAATAAAACGGTTGAGTTTCTGTCCCCGCGTGATGCGGATGGACACGGAAGTCACACGGCCTCAACCGCAGCGGGTCGTCAGGCCTTTAGGGCCAATATGGCTGGCTACGCCTCTGGTGTTGCCAAAGGTGTAGCCCCTAAGGCACGTATTGCTGCTTACAAAGTGTGTTGGAAAGACTCTGGCTGTCTTGATTCCGATATCCTCGCTGCTTTTGATGCTGCGGTCTCCGATGGAGTTGACATCATCTCTATTTCCATTGGAGGAGGAGATGGAATCCCATCTCCGTATTATCTCGACCCCATCGCTATAGGTTCGTACGGTGCCGCTTCGATGGGAGTCTTTGTCTCCTCCTCTGCAGGGAACGATGGACCAAATGGAATGTCCGTAACTAACTTAGCTCCGTGGATAACCACTGTCGGTGCGGGAACAATCGACCGGGATTTCCCGGCTGATGTTGTTCTCGGAGATGGACACCGTCTCCGAGGTGTTTCACTCTACTCCGGTGTGCCACTCAACGGACAGATGTTCCCGGTGGTTTATCCGGGAAAGAAGGGGATGTTAGCAGCTTCTTTGTGTATGGAGAATTCACTTGATGCTAAGCTTGTGAGAGGTAAAATTGTTATTTGCGACCGTGGAAGCAATCCTAGAGTAGCTAAAGGACTAGTGGTGAAGAAGGCAGGCGGCGTTGGGATGATACTTGCTAACGCCGTCTCTAACGGAGAAGGATTAGTCGGAGACGCTCACCTTATCCCTGCCTCTAACGTTGGATCAAGCGCCGGAGACAGAATCAAAGCCTACGCTTCGACTCATCCGAATCCTATAGCTACAATAGATTTCAAAGGGACAGTGATCGGAGTTAAACCGGCTCCTGTCGTGGCTTCTTTCTCTGGCAGAGGACCAAACGGTTTAAACCCGGAGATTTTAAAACCTGACTTGATTGCTCCAGGGGTTAACATCTTAGCGGCTTGGACAGACGCGGTTGGACCAACAGGGATAGTTTCCGATCGTCGGAAAACAGAGTTTAACATTCTCTCCGGTACTTCCATGGCTTGTCCTCATGTTAGTGGAGCCACGGCTCTGCTTAAGTCTGCTCATCCGGATTGGAGTCCGGCCGCTATAAGATCCGCCATGATGACAACGGCTAGCCTTGTGGATAACTCGAACCGTTCGTTGATAGACGAGTCCACTGGAAAACATTCAACACCTTACGACTTTGGTTCGGGTCATCTTAATCTTGGTCGGGCTATTGATCCAGGTCTTGTCTATGACATAACCAATGTTGACTATATCACGTTTCTTTGCTCCATCGGCTATGAGATGAAATCGATTCAGGTGATCACTAGAACCCCGGTGAGATGTCCGAGAAGGAAACCCTCGCCTGCTAATCTTAATTATCCTTCGATCACGGCTTTGTTCCCAACCTCAAACAGAGGTT